AAAAGCATCTCTGAAGTATTAAATGTAATAGATTTTGTGACTGTCACTTACAGAATAGCAAAATCGTCTCAAGTCTCAAAAATTGTCTCTATCAAATTTAGAGACTTGATACTGTAACACAGTATCACATTATCAAGACAACGTTCGAAATAAGTTATTTGCATTTATAATTGAATTAACTTAACTAGTTTTTATGTATTTTTAATTACTTGCAGGCCGACTGTTTGTTGAAAGTTAAAATAGGCTCACAACGAAAACCCCCCGGGTTTCAATCTCAACTAGTTTGTCTGACTACTGGTCCAAACAGAAGAAATGTCCAAGTCACATCCTTATGCATTAACTCCAGTTATGGACTGTAAGTGATAATTTTGAAATACAAAACGTTCGTAATTTCGTATTTATAATAGCGCAACTATAGTTGTCGTTCGACAAGCATATACCAAAGTATTAATTATGAGTGGATATTAAGGGCTGTTATAGTATTTGGTAATTCTTAATTGCGCCGAATTAAGTCCAAAAATTTGTGAAAATATAGTTGAGAGTACAAAACAAAAAAATCTTAAATGTATTGTCTGTATAATAATACCGGCACGATTTCGAATACTCTGGCGGAGGGGTAAAAAAACCGAATTTCCGTATACATGGAGTATGTCCGGATAGGGGAGCTTCTCCAGAGGAGGAATATCCGCAAATAGTATAAAAATTACTTATATTTTTTAAAATTTTCACGATTAAAAGTTCAAAAATATGCACTAATAACACAAGGTATTTCTCTATCTTCCATTATATTTATTCACGTTTTTCACTCTGTATATTTAAATAAACTCTAAACTTTGAAATAAGTTCACATTTCAATTTTATTTTGTAATATTTCACCTACATTTATTAATTTAAAAATCACTTAGCGAACTCGCCGTTGCAAAAGATGGATTGTTTACAATTATGAGGAAAACGAGCGTTGCCACATCTTAAACCCCAAATATGTAGGATTCTTAACGATTTTTCTTTGCTTGTTTTTTTGCGTGATTCTTTTTTCTACATTAATTATAATAAAAAATACTTTCTAACATTTTTTAAGTTGTAATTGAGTTGTGAAAACTTTTTCCACATATACATTTTACATACAGTATGTATATGTGATTTATATTTAATAAACACATATAATTAAAACTCTATGATAATATAGTA